TAAGCTGTAAACAGGCCCTTATCCAGGCGCAGCATATCTGTCACTAGTAATTCTGATACTTTATTACTTTCATTGCCATTATGAGTGACCTCTTTTTCAGTATTGTTTTTCCGATTATTCTGATAGAAAAGCAACTCATGTGATATATGCAAACATTTTTTATACAATTAGCTACTGGTTTACCCTTATTTGTAATTATTTGAGTCTATTCCCTTGGGTTTTCTAAGCCTGATAATCATCGCTGATGGGCAATCACATCTTCCTATTGATTTTTCTCTAAAGTTTCCATAAAAACGTCCAATGTTATTGTAGTGCTGGTGTGGCTACATCTTCTGATTATAACAGGAACAGGTTCCCCACTGAAAATAATGTTGACTGTTTTTCTGACTTGCTCTCCATTATTAGGGAAATCTTTTTAGTTCCTAGTTAAAGGTTTATGATTTTTGAAAATCAACAATGATGAGTTTTATCTACTGCCTTGTTTGGCATCAGTGAAGATCATGCGGTTCGCCTCTGGCTCTCTGATGTGGCAAATCATACTGACAGCTGCCTAACCGTGACCCACGTGGAACCCTTACACAAGCCCTAGTCATCTGGAATTCAGTGGCTGGTATTTTACTCAGGGGTTCTACGCCCACTTCACTCGCTGAAGACGAAATGCTCTTTTCTTATGTGTAGTACAGCTAGCAGGCTGACTGAAGGTTCTGGAGCCAGTCGGCCTTGGGTGCTCCACCCCGGTGCGGCCATCCATCAGCTGTGCAGCCCCGTCAAGTCAATCTCTCTGTGCCTCAGCTTCTTCATCCAGAAAGTGGAGCATCAGTGCTTACATCTCATAGGGTTGCTGTGAGCAGTACATCAGAACAATGTTGGGTATATGAGCTTCGATGAACTGTTACGCCTCGGTCAGGTGTAGCTCTGGGGTATGCTAACTGAGTGCCTCTTATTTGAAATGTGGCCGGTGATTAGCTATCTGTTCATGGTTTACCGTTCTTTGAAATACTGCCTGGATCTTTACTTCATTAGGTACTGGGCTGTAACGGCAATCCTCACCATGAAGCTTACGATTGCTGCCTGTGTCCTAAGCACACATACGTATGTTTTCCAGGGACCTACAGATGAAGCTACAATCAGAATGCCATGATGAAGCAGTAGAGCGTACCCTGGAAATACTGAGAGGGCCAGTACCAAGAGATCTCGAAAAAGGTTTGGGATAATCTAGCAGCCATAATGCAGTCATCATAGCCCTTATGAAACTGTCCATAGAGGATTAGTCAGGGGCCCATCAGGGCCCCAGGAACACTCTAGGTAAAACACCCAGAGGGATTCCACGCAGACGATGGGGTACACCAGTGATAGCACACTAACGAGCAACCACCTAAGTTGGCACAGCAGGTAGGCACCACCACCTCAGAATCCAGAAGAGGGACAGTGCCCAGGAGCCAGAACTATATCAGGGTCAAGGGCTGCCCAGCAAGAACTGGGACCGCAGGGGAAACACAGCCGTTGTCATAAAACTCCTACCAAAGCAGAGCGTGAACAAGGTCCCGGTTCCTCCTTCCTCCCTCCACCTAATCCCCTGCCAATGCTCCTGCTGGCCAACCTAGGCTAGGAGTCTAGGAAAGATAGTCCTGAGGTCGTGAAGGTCAAACTGGCAAGCTGGAAAGGAGGACTCTAATGGTTCACATGAAAAGGCTGTCCAGGAGCTCCCAGGGTGACAGAGAAACGGGGGCAGGATTTGGGGACAGAATGCGCCTCCATGTACCATCCAGAGTTCAGGACCACCAGACCACACACATCTGGCCTTGGCTCCCAGGGCCTGGCTCCCACCCCTGCCCGCTGAACTCCAAAAGCCAGTGGACTGGAGCCACATACACACAAAGTCCTGCCACTGTTTTCCTTATTTTGCTCCAATAAAAACTAAATGAATGTACGGAAGCACATGCTGTGATGAGCAAGACATACATGCTACTGAACTAACCACTGGGTCCTCTAATCAGCCCTGGGCTAAGTGTTTTACTTAGAATCCTTTACCATAAGAATCCTCACGGGTAATCCACACAACCACCTGGAGAGGCAGGTCCTGTACTGTCCCTCGCAACAGAGGAGGCTGCAGCCGAGGGGCCAGACACCTGCCCAAAGCCACTGCAACCAGAGGAACAGACCTCAACCCCATCCCTGACCCCCACGGTGGTGCTCTGATCCCTAGCCACTTAGCGCTGTCACGAGTCACCGCACATGGCGGCATGGATATAGCACAGCTCTCCGAAGTGTGGCAAAGCCAATCACATCTTCTATGCTGCACGAAGGCCCCTCCTCACAAGGATCAGGAACCTGCCAGAGAGGGCTTTCGGCAGGCTGCCAGGGTCAGACTTCCATGCTCACTTGACAGCAAGGTAGGAGGACCTGCAGGGGGAGCAGGCGTCTACTAAGGAGACAGAAGGGGAGGGAACAGCACAGGGCACGCTCTGTAAAGGTAACAGAAACAAAACAAGGGACAGCAGCTAGTCAGTAGAGGGCAGGCCTGTACGACCAGGACTGAGAAGAGCCTCATCACCAGCTCACCGCCGGGTGCAGGACACCTCAACTCCCAGCCTATTCGGGGACAGGGGTCACGTTTCTCCACCACCACCACCACCACCACCACCATCACCACCACAGGAAGTCCGCTGCCCCAAGCCCCTTTATCTACTTCAGATCTCCGGCCATACCAGCTCTTCAAACCATTGCTCTAGTCCAGGAAGCAAACGGAACCTGGGCCCCAAGGGATGGGCGCGGCCCCTGCCCACAAGTGTACTGCCTGGAGGCTCCCTCTCCGAAGAGCTGCTCAAACACGCTGTGCTTACGCTAACCTGCACAGTCTAACCCTGGGTATGTGAAGGTCAGCGGTGCAGAGGGTACTACCATGGACAGCTGAAGCAAAATCATCCTAAGGACAAGACCAGGTGGCCTCCCTCCCCATACCCCCCCTCCCCCCGTCTGCAATCCACTTTGCTCCCCCATCACGGGTCACGCCGGCCACCCTGGGCGCCTACATGGAGCCTACGGGGTGTAAAACAGCCCCAAGTGATCCTGACACACATTCTCCCACGCCACCAGGGAGCGTTTACTCCAGCCGCAGTCCAGACTCCCCATCCACCCTGCCGGGGGCCTTCATGACGCTCAAGTTCATAATCCACTCTTGCAGGTCCGGTGTCTGTGTGAATGTTCCCAGAATTCTCTTCTAGAAAACAGGCTGTAACTGAGGCATGTCCTCAGTTAACGGCCAGCCCGCGCTGGGGCCTTTCTCCCGTCTTCCCTTAGTGTGGCTCTCCTGCTCTCAGCATGGCAGCGCGGGAAGAAATGGAAGGAGCCTAGTGACTCCGATGCCTAAAGATTTTTGCTTTAATGTGGGGGCGGGGGGGGGGGGGGATGTGTGTACATGTATTTTAAAAAACAGATTTTTGACTTAATTTCAGAGCTCAATCCAACCCAATAAATCAAACATTCCAGTGGCACAGACTGACCAGTGGCAGCAAGCACAGCATCTCACCTGGCCGTCCACCCGCAAGCCCATCTTCCAATGTGGGACGAGCTGGCTGTGCTGAAGGAGCCACAAAGGGCCCCGCCCTGTGCTGCCAGGCCCTCACCTGTTCCTTACTGCTTCCGTCACCCCCTTCTGGGAAGGGAGACCAGTTCCAGACTCCATGTCTCGGTTTGCAGGTAAAGCGGCTGGGGAGCTCGCCCAAGTGCCCCAGGTGTGACACCCCCCTCCCCCCCTGCAAAGCCTCCACTGGTGTGCTCCATCCTGGCAGAATAGCTGTTCCACTTCCCACGACTTAAACTGGGGGTCGATATTTATTAATTACATAATTAATGTATTTTCAAGTACAAAAAATAAAAATGGTGAAAATGATTTAAAAACCCATAATTTAACACTCAAGAAAAACCACTATCCATGCAAGGATATTTGTTTGCTCTACCATTTGTGTTTCTATGCAAATACATGCACAAAATGTGTCTGTCAACGACACACTCGGCTTTTCTTACAAACACGGACTTACCAAACCTATGCACAACGTGTGCTTTGCTGGCATAATTATGAGCTATAAATATTTAGTAGTACACAGCTCCACACTGAGCAGCAGCTGACATGTGGGCCCTTACGTAGATCCCTGGATACTTCCCTGAGAAAAGTCCCAAAATAGTTATTTCATGATTGAACGTTACGCAGATCTTTTGGCTCTCGAAAACAGTATCAAATGACCGTCCAGAAATGTCACACTGCATCCCCAGTGAGGCTCTCCCCAGCACAGCCCGGGAACGCGTTCCTCGCGCCCCCGTGTGGGCTCTGGGTGTCCTCGCCTCTGAGTACCGAGCACACCCCTCTGATGCCGAAGGGGACGCCTCTTCGTGTCAGCTGCCTCCTGCACAGCGCTTGCTCAGGTCCCCTACCCCTTTTCCTAAGGATGCTTTCATCTTTCTTATTATTTCATGCTGTGTCTGTTCCTTCAAAACCTTTCCGCGTCCGCGGATCTCCAAGGCCTGTGCCTCTGCTCTGCTCTGGGCATCTGTGCCCCATGAGGAGTGTGCTCCCCAGGGAGAGCGGCGTGGCGGCCCGGGCGTGAGGCCGGCTGCTGAGAAGTGTCTACCTTAGAGAGCTACCGAGAAGATCAAACGCGAGCTGAACCACAGAAAGCACACAGCTGAGAACAAAGTAGGCACTGGCTATCCGAACAGCTTTCCATGCCTTTCAAATTCCTTAAAGCCCTCATCTTCGTTCTTTATCCTGCACGGAACCTTAGTGTTTCTTCCCAAAAGGCCGTCACTCGTTTGCCATAATTGGAAGAACCATATTGACGTGCACAAAGAAGAACAGCCACAGGCCTGTTTATCAACGAGCGTCCCTCTGTGTCCTGGCCTAAGGCCACGGCTCCACCACGGTTTTCATGGCTGCAGCTTGTGAGGCATCCCCAGGCAGAGGGCACATCCTCCAGGTCAGTGTCCCACGTGTCCTCAGGAACCTCTGCCCCTAGGTTCCTACATAAGTGCTCTGAAATCTCCGCGGAATTTCAGATAGAATTGTGTTAAAGCCTGCAGGAAGTGTCCGCCTGACTGCTGTAAAGGTGGCTTTCTCTTTTTTTTTTTTTAATTTTTTTTTCAACGTTTTTTATTTATTTTTGGGACAGAGAGAGACAGAGCATGAACAGGGGAGGGGCAGAGAGAGAGGGAGACACAGAATCGGAAACAGGCTCCAGGCTCCGAGCCATCAGCCCAGAGCCTGACACGGGGCTCGAACTCACAGACCGCGAGATCGTGACCTGGCTGAAGTCGGACGCTTAACCGACTGCGCCACCCAGGCGCCCCTAAGGTGGCTTTCTCTTGAGCACTCCACTGCTGTTAGCAAATCTTGATGGCTCCATCAAGACAGCTCCAGCATTTACCCACTTCTTCCTGCCAGCAGCCACCATCTGCCCTGCTGGGGACAGCAAGGAACCCCTACCTGCTCTCCTTGACCCTTGACCTTAGGGTTTACTTTCAAAAGAGCAGCTGGAATGATCCTTTTAAAAATATGTCACTTTCAGAAGGCATCTGGGTGGCTCAATCGGTTAAGCATCTGACTTCAGCTCAGGTCATGATTTCACAGTTTGTGGGTTCGAGCCCCTCGTCGGGCTCTGTGCTGACAGCTCAGAGCCTGGCGTCTGCTTCAGATTCTGTGTCTCCCTCTCTCTCTGCCCCTCCCCGTTCACACTCTGTCTCTATCTCAAATATAAACAAACATTTAAAAAAATTATTTTTAATAAATAAATAAAAAGGTGTCACTTTTCTAATTACGTCTTCATGTTTCCCCATCTGACTGTGAGCAAAAGCCAAAGTTCCAGCACAGCCCCAGGCAGCCTGGCCTCCCACCTGCTCTCTGATCACTTCCGTAAAGTGAGCCTCCTCACTCTGACAACAGAGGCCTTTCCACTGAGAGCACCCTCCAGCCTCAGGCTGGCAGGGGCTGTCCCTTTGCCCACATCTACCCACACGGCTATTTCCCTTCCTCCCCTCCATCAAGGGCCTCCTCCTCTGTTGAGGCCTCCGTCTACCCTATTTGAAAACTGCAAACCAACACAGACCCCTTTCCTCGTTTTATTCACATTTACCGTTTGAGTTACTGTTTTTGTTTATCCAAAACTCCCCTCAACTCCACCCCCACCCCCAACTCCCACATCAGAATGCAAGCAGTGATGCCCATGTTATGTACCTGTCCCTGCATGGCAGGCAGCAAGGACGTGTATCAAAAGGAAGGAGTCACCACATTTGAGAACATCATCTTTTCTCTGAGTCAAGTTTTGTTGTCTTCTTTTCTTCCTCCTCCTTTATGTCCTACCCACTCACAAAATTTCCCCCTGGTTGCTCCGGAATTTTTGTCACTACTGTGAATGTGGTATTTTCTCCACTGTATTTCCTAACTAGCCACATCGGACACTTCTCATAGTTACACGTTTATGTTATAAGCAGTTACTTACATGTCTTTAAACTAAAGAGTTTATTAAGTTTTCTTTTGTTTTCCAAGTAATTTTTACTTTCTATCCTACCACACTATGGTCAAAAACATGTACTACCAAATTAGGTTCTTTCCCCTAAAGACTTTACGGCTTTCCTAATTTGTTCAGTTTAATTTTGATAAATATCCCATGGTTATGGAGTAGGACCTACAAAATCAATTTTATTAACCCCATTGTAAATATCTTTCATATGTGTATTGTTTTATGCTTAATTTGCAAATAATGAGCTAAATTACCCATTTCCAATATTGGTAGGTTTTCATTTACCCAGTTCTAGATTTCCACCACTTTTTACTTTATCTTATTTGGTATTATAAGTTTCATATAAATATTCACATAATGGTTATTCATATAACCGTTATATTCATATATAAATATTCACAAAAATGTTATAAATCTTAGTCTTGCTGTTGATTACATATGTGGACAGCAGCCAACAAAAGGGAAAGTCTTCTCTGCCCCAGTTGCTCTGAATTCTACGCTTCTGATATTTATGATTAACCCCTGCTTTGTGATTGTTTTATCCGGTCTTAATTTTAAGCTTCCTAAATATTCCCATCCAGGGTGTGCCACCTCTAGACAACCCGTGATAGAGATTTTCGCCTTTTGACTCTTGCCAAAAAAAAGTTAGGGCAGTCACGTGCATTTACATTTTTACTGACACACAGACACGGTTTTGCTGTCTACTGCCTCTTCCATTAAGTGCTATACATTCTTTCCTTTCCCCAACCTCAGAGACCAGAAAAACACACATCCATTAGTAGACTTGATGTCGGTTGCATTAAAAAAAGTTTGTTTTGCTATCAGCTTCAAGAATGAAAGTTTCTCTTTACTTTTTATATTTTTATATTTGGCAGGGGACCACAATACTAAAGATACAGAAAATGGCGCAATTTTACTTTCTGTACACAATAGCAACCCAATGGGAATAGTCTTGAATTTCAGACCCTATACCTTATTTTTCCAATCATTCAGACTGCACATTTTCTAAGAATCAATACGCACACTCTGCACTTAACTACACTGACAACAATGACCCCCAACGGTGTTTAAATGGCTTAACTCCACTGAGTCCTGTTTCCCTGCAACTTCTCTTAGACTTATTATTTTTTTGTTTCTTTATTTATTTTTGAGAGACACAGAGAGACAGAGCACGAGCAGAGGAGGGGCAGAGAGAGAGGGAGACACAGAATCTGACACAGATTCCAAGCTCTGAGCTGTCAGCACAGAGCCTGACAGAGGGCTCGAACTCACGGACCATGAGATCATGACCTAAGCCGAAGTTGGACGCCCAACTGACTGAGCCACCCAGGCGCCCCACATCTCTTAGACTTATTACACAATAATCATTGAATCCTGAAAGCCAAAAAGCTCCCAAACCCACATTTCCCCCTCTAAATCTGGTGCCAAACAATTATTTAGTGGCTAACATCTGACATGAACTCACAGGAATATATTTAACTGAGAAGCACTGACATATTAACTAGGCATGTTAAGAAATATAGAACAGATGTACCTTATTACCATTTAAAAGTTAAAATATTCCACCTCCAAACCTCAGCCAGCACAGGTTAACGTACATGAAGATATTCCCTGGCCCGGTCTGCTGGGAAGGCCTAGGCACAATGACACCCAGGTAGCAATGAGCAACAACCACAAAGAGTGCCCTGACCTTGGTTTCTGAAACCATTTTCCAATAAAAGGAGAAGTGGCTGAAAACTGGGCTGGGGCAGGGAAAATACAAGACGGTGCCACAAGTTAGAGAAATGCCCCTGAAAAAAAAAAAACAAACAGGGCATGTTGAAACAGCACAAGAATCCTGGGGCACCTGGGCGGCTCAGTGGGTTAAGCATCCGACTTCGGCTCAGGTCGTGAACTTGCAGTTCGTGGATCCAAGCCCTGGTCGGGCTCTGTGCTGACAGCTTGGAGACTGGAGCCTGCAGCCTGCTTTGGATTCTGTGCCTCCCTCTCTCTGCCCCCCCCCCCCCCAAAAATAAAGATCACACTGTCTCTGTCTCGCTCTCTCAAAAATAAAGATGAGAGAAAGAAAGAAAGAAAGAAAGAAAGAAAGAAAGAAAGAAAGAAAGAAAGAAAGAAAGAA